GTATCAAATGTGACAAAAACATTGGGCTATAAGATACAAAGAATTGTCAGAACAACACGGTAAAAGTTTAATGAAAGCCAGGAGCTGGCTGGGTTAGTTAGCACGTAACATAACAATTATTTAGAGAGGAAGAGGACACGGATGCAGCATCTTCCTGCTTCATATCAACACCTGAGTCAAAATTGACAACTTGGTTCTAAATTTATTTTGCTCATATTTTAAAAACTGAATTATTTTGTAATTCTAAACAACCCTACCTCTTTTTCAGCAGGTCAGTTAAGATTTGGGATACCACAGGAGTCAGCCATCGGTTCCCTTCTGTTTTCTATGTGCGTTTTTAAAACAGATGTATTATAAAGTACATTCTAGATTTTACACTCAGTTGTTCAGGGTAGTATAATCCACAGATTGTAAAATCCTTACTAATTTCTCAGTTTATCTTCCAAGTAATAAATCCTGGATCACAATGTTTTGTTACATCTATTAATACTAAGCTAAATGCTCTGTTTTGTCTCAAATTATTTTGTTGCTGTCATCTTGACAATCTTTCCAACATATTTCCTAGCTGCTAAGAACTTAGAAAAATATTAAATTAAAACCTCACGTTCATGCACAGGTGTAATTACACCTTCCAGTTAACTGCTGTCATTAAGCCTCACACACCACCTGTACTTCCTCTTTAGCCTTTTGCTCTATTTCTCATCGATTTTAGATCTGAGCTGAGTTCAGCAAAGTTCCTCTCCCTCTGCATATTATCAAAGCGCTTCCTGTCTGACATTTAGGGAGGAAGGAAACAAAAAAAGAGGGTGGCGGCTGAATGGAGGGAGAAGAAGAAAGGAGATGGTTATTTCATGTGAAACAGCGAATTGTGGAGGCAGGTTTGGCCTTTCTTAGAAATATCATTCTGTAATAAGAGCTGCAATTACTGCCGTGATTATCCAGCTTCCAGGATGTTTTGGTGGCTTGTCCTCTTGCTTAAATAAAAGCTTTTTACAAAAGAAAGAACATGTTTTATGTTGATGGGATTTTTCAAGTCCTTTTTACAGTGACACATTGTCAAAACAAAAATGTAGATCTTCAGATGGTAAAATTTGGACATAAATACACAAAACTAAACTAATGACATTTCTAGATTGGAATGGAATGGGAAAAATGCATCACATGTAGTGTAATTTTTTTACTACAATTACTAAAAGTCTAAAAGATGATAACTAAAGTCTAATAAACATGTCATGCAGAAATGAATGACCCTTTCACCTCAGCTGTGCTTTGGTCTGTGTTACAATAAAGAAACATGGGTATTGTCTCCATGCCTTCACATCAGGATGCACGTGGAACATGTCTATGCACAATGCTTATGACGCTGAAGTGCGTTCAGGTCAAGACACATCAAGCATGATGAATTTGGGTCAGGTTAGACGATAACTTGCGGTAGAGCCACTTCCTGTTAGGTGGTCAAGGATTGGTGTGAACAATGTATCATCGGAAGACTACCAACAATCCTGTTCAGCAAGAAAGGCAGTCAAATTTATTTTTAATCATTTTTAGGACCTGCTTTTATATAATTTCACACATTAGTGCTAGTGGGACGTGTTTGTAGACACTGGATAATGGTATTCAGGAGCCATTATTCTGACATGCAGGTACATATTAAACATGAGTAATTTGAGTCCGATTGAACAGTGCTTTAGGGATTTGGAGATACTTCCTTTTTAGTGGCTAACATTTGGTGAGGAAATACTACAGAATATTGTATTTAAGGCAATACATGCAAGTCCGATATATAAAGTCTTTCAAATGTGATCAAAATGTGAGGTCAAGTTAGGGCAACATAACTTGACGGAGACTTGAACTTTTGATAACCTTGTGGATGTCTTAAGATTAAACTGAGTGACTTTCAACTTTTAGGGGGTAATAGGTTAAATATAAACTTTACAAAGCAGCCTTTTAATCCAAAATGGTTTGGATTTAAACTATGACTTCAGAGGCTTTCTGGAAGTCTTGAAAGGTTACGAGTGTACAAATTTTCACAAACCTAAATAAAGGCAGAGGGTGGTGTCTAATTTTCTTTGGTTTTCTAGGAGGTGTTGTTGATCTATTGTCACGCCCACTTGGTTTGAGAAAATGAGTCCAGAAATCCAACATTTATAGCCTCTTAAAAGAAATATGTGGTATTTAGATTAACGTTTAAAGCAATGGGGAACTATCAAATTCACCAAGCCATGGGGTGGCTGTGGCAGAGTGGTTAGTGGAGTTGTCCTGGAACCAGAAGGCCGCTGGTTCGATACCTGTCCAGCTGTCTCAGTTGTTGTGTCCTTGGGCAAGATACTTTAACCCCTAATGCCTCTGATGTGTGTCCCATCAGTGTATGAATGTGATTGGCGCTGCTTAGTCTCCACAGATGATTGTACATGTTAGCTTTGTAGAGACATAATATGAGTAAAATGGTTATGAGGTTATGGTAGAATTTTGACATGAAAATGTGAAGGTTTGACTGCAATTAAATGTGCAGTCTGGTGCAGGTCAGGTGATTTATTTGAAAGTTGTAACAATTTATGTCAAATTTTGAGGTTTAACCATGCCCACATTCTGTAATTAAAACTAATTTTTTTCACATTTATTCAGCCGTGTGTATGACGAGTTAGTCAAAAATAATAAATAATAATAAATTTGATCTAAGATGGTGGACTTTCTGGTAAGTTTAGGATGTACCACTAATAGACTGGTATTTACGTAGATTCTGGGCTGTAACACTCTTGTACCAGTTGTCATTTATGTACGTTAAATTTTTCTTCCAATTTTGTTGTACTCTTTCAAATACTCAGAAGCACAAAACTTTTTAACATGCTTGACAAGTGCAATTTTCTACCTTCAAAAGCAATTCATTAGGCATGAGATGGAGAAAAAAAATCACTTCTCTTTAAGCATTTGCTTTTGGTGCTAAGGTGTAATTATGTAAAACAGCTATCAAGCTTCAGAAGCTGTCAGTTGTCACGAGTCAAAAAGTGAGCTAAGAGGAGAGCATGATCACCAGCTGAACACAGCTTAGACTTAATATGAAATAAAGACTTTTACCTGATTATAAGTCCTTTGTTATCATTTTGACTGAATATTGATTCAGTTATCCCAGCTTTAGGCACAGCTAGAAGTCACAGGCAGCACATCAGTATGCCTCACCATGCTGCTGGAGGAAGGCAGCCGTCTGAGACTTTTCATCAACTGCCTGTTTGGTGCTTGGAGGGTAAAGCCAGTGGACATGAGCCGTGATCTACAACAGAAAGCTTCTGCTTGTGAATTTGTCTGGAAGAGTCAATGGATGTAGTCAGAGAAGAGCGACTGTGTGATCTAGATAGGTGAGGTATCAGGTAGTGTATTCTATTCCAACTGACCAAACCCACATACATAAAATAGTTAATAATATCAGCTGTGTCTCAATTCAGGGGTTGCAGCCAACGTAGGGCATATTTGTTGGCCACTTACACCACTACGTCACAGGCTGTCCCAATTCGTAGGCGCCTACTCATGCGGCCGACAAAATCCCAAAAATGTAGGCTACACCTGAGTATCCTACATGGCCAATGATATTCCAGAATTGATTGCTCTGTCAGCAAACTAAACAGGAAAAAAACAAGACGGCAGTTTGTTTTGGTTTAAAATATAAAGTTTGGAGGTGGTCAGAGGGTTTGGTGGCAGCCTCACCTCTGTCAGAATGTCCCAGGGCAGCAGTGGCTACAATGTAGTTTACCACCATCAGTGTGTAAATGTGTGTGTGTGAATGGATGAATGATTGAAGTGTAAAGAGCTTTGGAGTCTGTGGAGACTTGATAAAGCCCTATGTGAGTTCAGGCCTTTTATCATTTTTCCCATATTGAGCAAAATGCAATTACAAGCACTGATACTGGAGATAAACCTGTCTAATGTGTTTTTATTTTTTTTACAATATTGAAGTTTGTGAAGTTATACCATTAAAAGACAACAGAAGGCATGTGACATAACACCATGGTAATGGGGCAGTGCGTGACCATGCAAACATACGTCATCTGTGGACTAAACCGTCTCATTTCACTGCTGTTTTTTGCAGCCTACACTGGCGGCCTACGGCCCATGTGGGGTAAGGCTTACGTGGCTTCTCTGTAACTATATTTTCTGATAATCTTGATGAGCCATAAAGGCCAAACAAGTGGCCTTTAGTTTGTTTAATGCCATTCCTCCTTTAAAAAGATGTACTGGAAGTAGAATTCACTCTGAAATCCTATTAGGGATGCACAATAAATAGACCAAGTGATTTATCTGCACCAATTTCCTTAATTTTGGGAGATCAGCCGATAGATAAGATTGGTGGAAAAGATCGACTTCTCATCTACCTCCACACAAGTCTAAAAATCAGCCACTGTCCCCTGTTGTTCTGCTGTGAGCAATACCTAATGTCCAGTTAAAACAAGTTTGTATTGTTTCAAGGATGTTGTTTAGTGTTTTTCAATAAAATAAGTTTGGAAAATTAAAGGTGTATTGTGACCTAATAACACCTGACAGTGTCAGTTTAAAAAAAATGGAATTGGCCAAAATCGGAATCAGCCTTTTTAAAGATTGGTAATCAGTGATCGTCCAGAAAACAGCAATCAATGCACCCCTAATTACTTAAAAATATCAGTGATTATCACAGTAAACAGCTAATTTTCACACTTTTGTCACCTTGCAGCCCTTAAATCCTACATTCCTGTGATCTGGGTCAGACACTTTTCACAGACCATCCAGTTAAATTTGACAGGTGGTTAAAGCAGCCATTCAGTTGGATGGCTTATTAAAAACAACAAAAAAGGCGCATCAATCAAGCATTACAAAACCTAGCTTATTTCTATTCATCAGTGCATCTCTCCTCCTCCAACTAGCTGCAGTCCTCCCTTTCTTATCCCACTTTGCTGTTCTCTCAGCCTCCTCCCTTTCCTAGTTTCAGTTCAGCTCTCCTACCCCGCCCCTGGTTCCCCACCTCCCCCATTTCCCCTCTCTCCCCCCCTACTTCTGCATGTCACACTGCAGCAGTAAGACAATGGAAGGGTCAGACTTGGCAGCCTCTTTAAACTCCTCCAGGGTGATTTCATCGTTGTGGTCCTTGTCCATCTTGGAGAAGATCTTATCGACGCGCTGCTGAGGGGTCAGCCCATCCTCGTTCATACGCATCATGATCACTGTGCCGACCATCTTGTAGATGGCCTGCAGCACAAGTAAAGACAGCCATTTTCAGGTGATTCTGTTAAAACGGTTGAAGCGCGTTTCTTTCCGAACGAACACACACCTACCTCAATGATCTCCAGCATCTCCACGCGTGTGATTTTCCCATCTCCATCCAGATCGTACATGTTGAAGGCCCAGTTGAGTTTCTGCTCGAAGCTGCCCCTGGAGGTGATGGACAGGGCACAGATGAACTCCCTGAAGTCAATGGTCCCGTCGCCGTTCTTGTCGAACGTTCGAAATGCGTGCTGAGCGAACTTGGAGGCATCACCATAGGGAAAAAACTGAAAACAAAGTGACATCAGGGATGTACAGTTATTAGTGATGAAAACCGGACCTTAATTTTAACCCTTTGAACAAAATAAAATAAAACACAAACATAGTTTAATAAAAGTCTTTGCTTTGTTTTTATTAAAATTATCTTTATCCCTGAATTTACTTTCTGAAATTAGAGATAAAAGCTTTTGAGTGCATGTGTCAAACTCAAGGCCAATGGGCCAAATCTGGCCTTCATTAACATTTTATCCAGCCCCAAATATAATATTTTAAATGTAAAATAGTTTTATCGTTTCTCTTTGTGTCTTTAGTGCAGTCCTTTCTCGACAGCAGTCCTTTATGTATAAATGAATACATGGATTTTATAGGTTTTTACTGACTTGTTGGACTATGATAAAATGCATCTCTAAGAAACAGTCAATGAAATAGTTGTGAGTAGAGTGTATCGCCAAAAAAATATATTTTTCTGTTAGGGTATGTTCTAAACGCTACATAAGACACTTTGAAAAAAATTGTATTTATAAGAATAATTTGTTAGATAGCATTTGCAACCTATATTTTTTCAATAAATGTTGACAGAGATCGACCCATAGCAAGAACCACATTTTGAATTTTGGTCCACCGATGTAACCGACTTTACCACCACTACTTTAAAAACTTAAATAGTGCAGTTGTTTAACTGCAGCATTCTGCAAAACACATCAAGTAGGCTCATGGGATTGCATCATCTATAATTACCTCAGCCAAGGGTGAGGTAATGTTTTCGGTCACGTATGTCTGTCATTCTGTCGTTCTGTCTGTGGTCAACATTACTCAAAAACTTGTGGACAGATTGTCATGAGATTTTTACCACTCATGGGTAGTGGGCCAAGGAACAAACCTTTAAGTTTTGGTGATGTTCTGGATCACAATGAGGATACAGGAATTTTTTTTCTTTCAACACTCTGAGATCGGCAAAGCTGTGATGCTTTCACAGGGCTTCTGTAAAAAACAGTGAGCTGGATTGGACAGCACGGACTTCAAACTTTATAAAAGTAATGTTAAAACCACATTTAATGATGAATAATTTTCGCCATAAAATGCACATTTACAGAACGTTTTGTGACCAGGAAGTGCATGACTGCACCATGAAACACATTTTTCCCATTTCTTCAAACACACCATGTTTCCGAAACAACCAATCAAAACAGTTTCTCGCTACTAGGCTTGCAGAGAGCTGCCGGGCCTCAAAGATTGGAGACGGGGGGAGCCAGGAAGCACTTTATAAAGAGAGTCAAACCATTAAAAACTCATACAAGGGGATAAAACAGACATTTTACACGGTAAAATGTGACTGATGAAAACTTAGGAACTTAATCTGACATCAGTTTGACGATGAATAACGTCGGGTGATAAGTCTGACTTTTTTTTTTCACATTGGAACAAATCCTGTGCATACTGCCTGCTTAAATGTTTGCTACGTCAGGACTTATTAGGCAAATGTGTTTCCATCTCTGCTTTTGCGCATTTACTCTTACAGGATGGGGGAAATAGTCTTGGCAGAGGTTTGCACTCTCCGAGTGCTTCTAGTTACAATTTAAAATCTGTATTACTAATTACTAATTTTCTAAAATTTTCTGAATTTACTACTTTTTAGGTAGAAAATAATGCACTTGCATGATAGAATGTGGAATTTAGAAAATTTTAAAAAATGGAAATAATTTTAAAAATTGAGGACAAAACAGAAACTAACAAAATTATAAAACAAAGAAAACAAAATGCATAAAAAAATCACAAACTCACAAATGCATGACTCTATGTATTATGATAAGCTGCTAGAGGGCAGCTTTTTTAAAAAGACAAACTGGATGCCTTCCATAAACAAATCAATGTGGGTCAGCTTTAGTCACTGATTAGTCCACCTAAGTGAACAGCAACAGTAAAAAACAGACTCGGGAACATGTTTTCCTCCCACAATAAAAACATGCATGTTAGGCTGCCTTCAGGCTCAGGCCTCCCTTGAAAGAGATTCATAATCTCAGTGGGATTTATCTAGTTAGATAAATAAATAAGTGGAACTTTCATTTCATAACATGCATCTTTAGATGCTATTCTGTTTTATGTTTTAAAAAAAGACAGTAATGAAAAAAATTTTGACAATATATTTTTAAAAGATGCTTCTAGTCCATCTCTCCCCTCCACAGCTTGTTGCATCACACCTGCTCTCTCACCTTGACATAGAGCTGCTGGAACTCCTCCAGGTTAAGAATACCAGAAGGACAATCTTTCAGGAAACCTTTGTACCACTGCTTGAGTTCTGCCTCGTTGAACTCAGTGTTTTTGGTCAGGTCGTCCAGGACCTCCGGGGCCAGCTTGCTGTTGTGTTTCCCCATGACTCTGCAACCGCTCTGCGAGGAGAGACGGAGAGGAAAAGGAAGCTGGATGAGAACAAAAAAAAAAGGTGAGGAGGTGCTATAGACAAACAACAACAGAAGTGCACCTGTGGCATTGAACTGCTCAAGTCTCTTGAGGATGTGCAAATAATTAGTTGCAAACAGATGCGTGAGAAGAAAATTGGCAATATTTTTTCTAGATGTGTCAAAATATTTGGCACTACAGTTTACAGGTGCATTTGTAGCATTATTAAAGGGGAATTACAGATCCAATCAGAATGTAGTTTTATACCACTGTATGCCCATCACTAACACCAGGTTCAAATAATTGAAATTTTCAGATATTCTTTACCATCTTTGTTTTTCATTCACACTTGTAGGGAATTTTCCGCACTCACTCACATTGACATTCTTACAAGGTTGCACTCTCTCTGCCACAAATGGAACAAACTTCACTGAAGACTGTCGCTACTAAATTTGGTTTGATCTGCTAAAGCAGCGTAAAAAGCAATGGTCACACATGCAGCAGAAAGTCTTGGATCAAATCAGTGCTTGGTGAAAGAAAAGGATTGTTGTCAAAGAAGAGAAAACCACAGTTGCGTTATTTTAAAACTGATACGTATGTCCTTTACCAGATACCTTAAACTCAAAAGAGTCACAGCCGTCATTAGGTGGGAGGGTCCTGGATGTGAGAGGAGTTTGTGAAAGATGTGATTGGTTCAATTGTCTATTTGGGGTAGGGTTCGAAGAAGCCATAACGGTTCAGTTGGATGAACGCCGGGCAGCTGGGAGCATGTGTAACACTTCGGCTGGGTCAAAATGGCCATAAAACACCTATAAAAAGATCACTATTTTTGAATATGGATATTCATATCTCCAGAGATGTTTGATAAGATTCACCATAAATCAAATTTCTGGCTGGGCCATTCTTGGACATGCAGAGCTATCCACAGTCACTCACATTGTATTTCTTGAATTCAGTCCCTTCAGGATCTCTGGTGCTCATTCAGAGTGATCATTAAGTTCTTGGACACTAAAGCCGGTATCCCATTGAGCCGTCTGTTGGAGGTTAGATGGCAGCTGAAAATTGCGAGGAAAATGTGAATTATCAGTCGCAGTCTCATTAAAGTGAATGTTTACGACAGGTGGGGTGATGCAGCTTATTTCTATATGCACATATTCTGGGTCATTTCAGGACAGTTTGGGGATTTGTCTTTTGTAAACTACTTGCCAACAGTCAGTCACTGAATCAAGGCTGTTCTCTCTTGGTTGCTCAATGCGGCTGCGTGACCAGCTTTTAGAGGAGCACGGGTTGTGCCAAAGTTCTTCCAATTGAGACATATGGAGGCTTCAGAGCGCTTAAGAAACTTCAGTTAAAAAAAATCACATTTGTAGCCTACTACTTTAGATATGTGATTTGCAACAAGCCTTCTAGCTGTGCAGGCAGTTCCTTTGACCAAAATGAAGAAGGTCTGAATACTTTCTAAAGCCAATGTAAATGAAAAAAACCTGTAAAATGGACACTGGTCATACTACTGAAGAATCGTCAGTCATTAATAAAAACCCTGGTATCAATTTGTCAAGTATTTTTTCTGCCTTTTAATTTCACTGATTGACATATAGAAATAAGAAAAAAGGTCATCCCAAATTACTGAGCAAAGGTATTTTTGTTCCAGAAATGTACATTTTTCTGACATTAACAAAGAGGTAAGCCACCCAACCAATATTACAGTTATTATCCAATAAGAGACTTTTCACAATCACATTATTTTTATATAAAACTGTATAAAACTTAACTATTAATTATTCCAGTATGTTTAGATAATGTGACTAACACTATCACACATACACGTGTGAAAAAACAGCTAGGAAAAGTTGTGATGTAACTCAAAAGCTGTAAATCCCCATAAACCACTACTTCAGTAAGTTCTTTAAAGCACATTTGTGGTATTATTTTAACCTCGACACTCTGGTTGCTTTAGGAAGGGCTCTGATGTCATCACTGCAGAGGTTGGCCAATAAAATGCTCCATTACCCACCATCACCACACATACTTTACATGGTCACTGCAGTGCCTTGATGACGCCATCCCTGACTCAGACAGCTTTCCCACTCTGACACCAGGACAGAGCTGACAGCGCACAGCAAAACACTCACAAATCCTAGTAGCATGGGGGCAGTTTTGCAGCTGAATTATCATCCTGTCGTGTTTTATAGTCTGTGAGTCATGTGGATAGAAGCAACTAAACCCCAGATCACTGCAAACAGTACCATCATTTTGGATGCTGCATTCCTATCAGAGGTGCAAAACACTACAGGGGGCACATAGACTCAAAAGAAAAGCAATAAAGGAAAAAAATAGGAGAGAACTTTGTGTGGTAGGGGATTAAGTGCAACCATTCAACTCCATCGTCCCAAGGAGAAGATTTATTCAAGAAACTACTAATAAAAAGCATTTAGTCAATCACTCCCAACCTATTAAGTATGATTGACATTCTGAATGACGCACCACATACAGCGGGTAAAATAAGTTTTGAGCACGTCAACATTTTTCTCAGTAAATATATTMCTAGAGGTGCTAATGACATGAAATTTTCACCAGATGTTGGTAACAACCCAAGTGATCCATACATACAAAGAAATCAACCATGAATGTCCATAAATGAAGTTATTTGTAATAATGTGGAATGGCACAGGGAAAAAGTATTGAACACATGAAGAAAGGTAGGTGTAAAAAGGCATGGAAAGCCAAGACACCAGCTGAACTCTCTCAGTAATTAGAAAGCAAGTCTGCCCCTTGTCAATGCAAATTAATATCAGCTGGTTCAGTCCCAAATGATGACCAGGTATCACACAAGAACCATCTGATGATGGGTAAAAGTAAAGAGCTCTCTCAAGACCTTCGCAACCTTATTGTTGCAAAGAATAATGATGGCATCAGTTACAGAAGAATTTCTAAACTTCTGAAGGTTCCAGTGAGCACTGTTGGGGTCATAATTTGGAAGTGGAAAGAACATCATTTCACCATAAACTGACCACGACCAGGTGGTCCTCACAAGATTTCTGACAGAGGAGTGAAAAGAATTATCAGAAGAGTTGTCCAAGAGCCAAGGACCACTTATGGAGAGCTTCAGACAGACATCGAATTAGCAGGTACGATTGTTTCAAAGAAAACAATAAGTATTGCACTCAACCGCCATGGCCTGTAGGCACACTCACCATGCAGGACTCCACTGCTGAAGAAACAGCATGTTGAAGCTCCTTTAAAGTTTGCTGCACAACATTTAGACAAGCCTGTGAAATACTGGGAGAATATAGTCTGGTCAGATGAGACCAAAACTGAACTGTTTGGATGCCAGAATACACATCMTGTTTGGAGGTCAAATGGCACTGCACATCAGCCCAAAAACACCATACCAACAGTGAAGTTTGGAGGTGGGAACATCATGATGTGGGGCTGTTTTTCAGCATATGGTACTGGCAAACTTCAAATAATTGAAGGAAGGATGAGTGGAAAAAAATGTACATTGACATTCTTGATAAAAATCTGCTTCCATCTACCAGGATGATAAAGATGAAACGTGGCTGGGCATTTCAGCAAGACAATGAGCCCAAACACAAAGTCAAGGAAACTCTCAGTTGGTTTCAGAGAAAGAAACTAAAGCTGCTGGAATGGCCCAGTCAATAAACTGACTTGAATCCAATAGAAAATCTATGGAAAGAACTAAAGATCAGAGTTCATAGAAGAGGTCCACGAAACCTTCAAGATTTGAAGACTGTTTGTGTGGAAGAATGGGCCAAAATCACACCTGAGCAATGCATGCGACTAGTTTCTCCATACAGGAGACGTCTTTAAGCCGTCATTGACAACAAAGGCTTTTGTACAAAGTATTAGATAAATTTCAGTAAGCGTGTTTTACCCGCTGTATTGAAAAATGAAGGTCCATAAATGTAAAGTTAAACATTGTAAATGTTAAGAAGTGACATTATCATTGTATGTTCCTATACAATGTCAGAATTTGTGCCCTGCATTTGACTCATCACTCATGGGATACACACAGGTGGAGCAACAGGCAGCTGTGGAAAAGGCCCAGGGAGCAGTTAGGGAATAGGTGTCTTGTTCAGGTGCACCTGGCATGGCATGGAATTAAACCCTTGACTTTCCGTTCCCAAGACAGCTGCCCTACCACTGCTCCACAGCTGCCTCACTTGGCCTCCATTTGTAAGAGATGAAACTTTAACCTGCTGTTTGTTGTGGAGTAAGTACTTCTAAACTGTTTTCAAAGAAGACAAGATAGGAATTAATCAATAAATCCCAGGTTTTCATACTTCATAAAAACTTTAAAACACTATTTTTAATGTAAAAAACAACATAAATGTAGTGGAAAAGGTGTCATTAAATGAGAAACCTGTAAGATGGAGCTATAAAATGGGCTTTATTTTTATAAAATAGAAGTAGATCCCCTGACTGGCTGCTCCACCCACCAAAGTCACCAATTGGCTTGACATCATTCTACTGCTGTGTTCAATGACGTATGTCTTTGATATTCTGTTCATGTCAAGAAATAAAACCAGCTTTAACCAGCAGAAAAAATGATGTATTTGTTCTGCAACAAATCAGTGGTCTTATACACAGATACATAAATAAATTATTGTCTGACTAAGACACAATAAACGGGTTGTATGTTTGGGAAAATTACAAGTAGGACAATTATTTAATTTGACTTTGAGGCTCTGAAGGAGATAAACAGACGAGGAAGATCCTGACTGAAAAGGTGATACTGATGAAGATTGAATCAGGGAACAAGAAACAAAGTGGCAGGCAGATAAGCACTGACGTTCACTAAAGTAAGACATTTTATTGGGTCTGGAGGAGCCTTAGAGTATATTCAATCAAGCTGTTGAGACTGACAGTAAACACTGAGTCTAATTTGAGTTGTACATGTGCGGTGGGACTCATATGTGTTGCTGTATCAGTGTTTGTCAGACCAGCCGGAAAGAAATTGAGTTGACTG